TACAAACCTCTCTACTTCTGCCCAAACCAGTACTCACATGATGCACTGAATCTACACTGATGGTTCCAAGTCTGCCAGCTATGTTGGTACTGCTTTTGTGGCCCTTGACCATAATAACCACTCCCTTCATCAAGCAGCATTCAAGCTTGAGGCCCATTGTTCCAACAACCAGGCCGAGAGCCTCGCCATCTTGAAAGCTCTTCAATTTGTCATCGATAATCACAATAGACTCCCTTATAGCAAAATCAAAATCTACAGTGAGATCGAGATTGCTCTTTATCAAATTGTCAACAAAAACAACAAACTCCCAATTATATAAATGACCCTCAACCTCCTAAACCAACTGATCAACCTCCATCTTAACATCTTCAACTGGGTCAGGGGCCACTCTGGCACTACTGGTAATGTAGGCAGACTTGCTCCCCAAAAAGACAACTACCATTGCCTCCAGCTGCTCTTATGCAGCCATCCCTCCTAGCTGGATCATTTACCAGCTCAATTTTCACACCGTCTCTGAGTGGCAAAACCACTGGAATGCTGAGAACACAGGCTGCAGCACTCACAAATTCTTTACAGACATTTCTGCCAGACAGAAAATGGACTACCTAGTAACCTGCCACAATGTCACACAACTGCTTACCAGCCATGGAAACTTTAGTACCTATATCCTGCGGTTCCTGAACAAGAGGGATGACAAATGTGACTGCAACCTCAACGAAGATGACAACCCTCATCCTGTCATCTTCCTTTTCCCTAAGTTCAGGAATGAACACAAGTGACATGTAGACACTTTAATCAGAGAAGACCACCATTGGCCCTGCCTGCCCAGGACTCTCATGAGCAACAGGACCATTTTCAATATGTTAACTGCCTTTGCAAAGGCAATGGACCTCTCCTGCTATGGCTAACATCTTCATCCACCAGCAAACATCACTAGTGTATGATGTCTTTGCCCCACAGTGCTGTCTTCATTGCTGCTATATTCTTTGTAAATACCATTTAACTTTTAATTTTTTTTTTTTAGGGAGATGCTATGTATCTGCAGTCACCCTTGCCTGTATCTTCACACGAAACTTTTGTCATGATGTGTGTTCATGCATGCAGATTTAGTAATGTGTACTATTGTAAATCACTTAAATAATTGTAATTTTCACAATCCTGTATCAATTGTAGCATCATGCATGTACTCTACAAACACCCATTCTTGTATACTTCTACACTCTACTATGCATTACTGTTTGCATCCCATTGTCATTGTAAAGCTGTATGTTGTTTTTACTCTACAAATGTTACCTGATGACCCTCCTGAGACCCTCTCAACCACTTTTTCTTCCTTTCCTTTCCTCTTGATCTATACACTTCTACTCTTACTTCTTCTATTTTCACCTTTTCACCTTGTCTATGCTTTATGGTTTGGTCACTACTACTTTCCTAAATGTTTTAAAATTACATTTTAAAAGAACAAAACATTAAATTATTTAATAATAATAGTAATAACTTCAACCAAAAAAATGGCAGGAAAACCTTTTGTTGTAAAAAAATTTGATAAAAGTTGCAAAATTGTGATATCGATTTCAAATTTCTATTTTAAAGTTTTGTCATTAAATGGAACTAGAAGCATACTTTTTACAAAAGGATGATTGCTGTAGGAAATGCAAGCAGACATGTTTAAACCAAAGGTTATGAGAAATTAGGATGCATTTCTGGGTCAAAGGTCATTCCTGTATCTTAACCAGAAAGTATTAAGTGTCAAAGTTGGCAATTTAACATTAAATAAGCTTTAATATGAAGTGCTAATGCACTCTTTAATACTCCGAACTAGTTACTAACTATTCTGCAAAAGGTAAATTGGTAGCATGTTACCTTGTTTTCATTGTTTTCAGAAAGTGAAAATGATCAGAATAAGATTTACATTTGTTGTTTGTACTTAAGAACTCAATTCTTGAAGACACATTCAAATTTTAAAAGTATTTGATTCTGTCCCTGGTCAATTCCAACAAAGACTAATATTAATAAAGATCTTGTGTTCATATGTCCCTTGTTATGTGACATGAGAAAGTTTGAAATCATTTTCAGAATATAGTTTGTCATGCTCTGCGATTACCATTATACTTTATTTATTTGTTTACAAATGGAATCTTATTTTTCTGCTTTATTCAGGTTTAATTACATTCTTACTACCCAAAATCCTCTTCTGTTTTTGCATTGGACAAGTTTCTGGCTTGCAGTAAAATTTAATATAGAAAATCATTTTGTTCCTAAAAATTTGTTTCTGTTTAGGCAGGTTTAAATTTTATTCAGGTTCCATTTCATACAGATTTTACCATATATGAAATTTTATTATTATGCAAATATTATAAATAAATCATAATTTATGAAAAGGATTTAATAGCAAAAATTATATTTGAAACATTAAAAAAAAACAATTATTTATTATAGGCTATATAAGCTTAAGTTAAGTTAAAGCTTACCTGCATACAGTAACTATAAATTATCAATAATTATTAGAATATATTCGACTATTTACAATTTGTTTATAATACAATATGGCGATTTTGTATAATAAAAAATTACAAAAAAAAACTCAAATTATCATTGACTCTTCCACTAATGTGCATCATACGCTTCAATAGCTTCACTTAAGATAAGCTGGAAACATAACTATTGATCATCGTAAGTTAAACTTAGTTAAACACGTCAATGTATAGTTAATATATAAGAACACATAGATCTAGAATAGTGTCGAATCTATGCAAATGAAGTCAAAAGTTGTGTTTCGCATGCCACAAAACTCCATCTTTAGCATCACTCATCTATCATCTGTCTCGTTGTCTCGCTAAATCGGCACAAAATTTAGCATACAATTTGTAGTGGAGTATTATAAAAATGATAGAAAATCGATCGAAAATTCACTTAGATGTTAATAAGTCACTAAAAAGAAATAAATTACACGTATTTTTATATTAAAATAAGTCATCTTTAAGACGTAATGAAGTTGTAAAAAAGCTGGCAAGAGTTCTTGCACGATTTTCATAGAACTCGAACAGGAGATTAGGCTTTATTTTTGGGAGTAGAGTAAGTTTTTTAAATGCCAATAATATTTGATTTTTAATAAGCTAAAAACTCGTACGAGTAAATTTTAATTAAGTCTGATCCCATTCGAGATACAATTCATCTCTCTGTATCTCTCCTCCCCTTTGACTTATAATCTCCAAAATTTAAGAGAATCATTTTCTCATATACAGAAGTATTCCTACCAAATTNATTAAAAAATAAATATTTAGTCAGAATCAAATTTATTTTAATTTAATGAGATTGTTTAAAAAAATATAAGAAAGAAAACATAAAAATCATAAAGTGGTACAAAAGTTAATCATTAAATTTAATGAAGTTTCAAGAGGTTTAATTTTTTATTAGATCAAAAGGTTTAATTATGATTCAGATTTGAAGAATATTTCAATAGTTAAAATATATTCAGCTACATGCATTAAGTTAAACAAAGTTAATACAAGTGATGGATTATATGATTAAATTTGAAAGTATTGAAATCACCAAGAAACCAATACTAAAAGTAAATCAATTTTAATAGTATATTATTGATAATAAATAGCAAAATGAGGTTATTATTAATTATAAATTTCAGCAAAACACATTTTGAACTAATATCTGAATTAAATGGTTTTCAATCCTACAGTAATACTTTTTCACCAGAGCTCTGCATAAGTCAAAAAGTGTTTTTTCTGTGATTGGAGTTTAAAACAACCACATGACTATTAAACAGGATTTTTGCAAATATATACAACTTGGCAAGACCAATTAGGGATTTAAGGGAATAAGGGACCATGGGATTTAAGGTCAAAGTTTACTATGTAAAGTCTATGGCCAATTATTAATTGTAAACTGGTCATGTGCTACATCAGTTCAGTTTCCAATTGCTGTCACTTTACAGTAATCTCTATGACAAGTTTTTTTATTTTAGATTTAGATCAATTTTAAACCTTTTTATTGCACAGTTTTACTCTTTATATGCTGTGGAGCTTAGTTTTGTTTTGAGTTTTAAATTAAATTACAAGTTGGATTACATGAAGCTGTATTTATGCTACTAACTCCTAATTAAATTTTAAGTAATTTGGCCTAAAAGTAAGCATTAGGTATTATCTCTTGATAAATTTAATAATAAATTTAGAAAGTTTTGGAAGAAAAGAATCACTCTGAAGTAGGACTCAACCTGCAACTCCTACTTGCCTAGTTACACTCCTCAGATGTGTGTTCTACCTTCACTTTCAGATCTAAGTTAGATATAATCATACTAGTTATTTACCAGGCTGAATTATTTGAAATTTAATTAGTACTTATTATTATTAGTATAGCTCAATGTAATCTGGCAATCATATGGCTTTAATACCTAGTTTAATTGTGTTGTGTTTATGTATTTATCACAATATAACTTGATCTTCATGCCAAATATCAGATAAGAGGAAGTAAAAATATACTGAGTATGCTGTTAACAGTTTTTTTACTTTCGCTATCACTTTCAATGAACATCATCAGGCGAATGAAAATTAAAAAAATTTTTAAGTTTATTGAAAGTGCTAGCAAAAATAAAACACTGTTAATGCTGCACTCAATGTGTTTTTACTTCCTTTTTTATGTACAGTATTTATTTTTAATATCACTAATTCATATACTGTATATATATATATATGAATTAGTGATATTAGTGTGATATATATTATCCTTATATNAATCTATATATATATAACTCAAAGGTGACTGACATAGTGATCTATCAACGCACAGCCCAAACCACTGGACGGATCGGGCTGAAATTTGGCATGCAGGTAGATATTCTTTAAAAAATTAGTCTTTGTTCCAATTTTATTTTATGAAAGATATTTTCTTTTTCAATTAAATATAATAAAATAGTAATAACAAAATCATATTTAAATTTAAGAATAGTATCAAAGAAAATAATAAATTTTTCATTATTTAACAGAAACAACAAAGGATATTCATAAACATGGTAAGACTAACTTTTTCTGTTTATTCTTTAAAAAGTTTCTTCTATTTTTATATAATTGAAAGATTCTAGAAAATCAAAATTTAATGATGCAAAATTATGCCCTATACAAATAGAATTGAAACTATGTTGATTGGCAATTTGATGTTAGTTAAGTCTTCTGATGATTAAAAGTTAAAAGGTTTTTTTTTATTTTTAACATTTAGTTATGAGCAAATATTCTTATACTTTGAGTTTTTTTTTTTGTAACTTTTAATAAATCTAATACTTAAACTTAAAATTTTAATTTTATAACTGATTATAATATAAATAAGTAAATTAATTGCAAATTATTTTTATTTTATTTGAATTAAAAACTTTCAAAAAATATAGAGTAATTATATATGCTACTTTTTTCTATAATCTTTCATTAGTAGTAGATTTGAGAATTTCAAACAGCAATTCCAACATCCAAAGGTTTCCAATGATTATATAATTTTATTAACTCATTTTATTATTGAGCACACATTTCATACCAACATAAAATTTCATTTCTTATTCAGTGCTAAGAAGCTTAACAAACGTTCTTGAATTTGAATAGATCAAGATTACATAACTTAAAAATTATTTTTAAAATATCTCCTGTATCAAACCATGCTAAACAAATGATTTTAAAACACACTATTTAACATCAGTAAATATTACTACAGATAGTTCTGTTTTAATTACATAATTTTAAGTCACTGTAACAACAATACTAGATGATGATAGTTTTTTACTTATTAAAATTTACATTAGATAATGTAAAATACCACCTTCAAAATTATGTAATGCATATCTTAAATTGATCCCCTTAATTGTACTAAGGAATAATACACAGCACAGGATACTAAACATCCTGTTATTTTATTAATTAGGTAAAAAGCAGCGATATAAACAGTATGGTTTATGCAGCTGTGGGAAAAAAATGAATCATTCTATTTATTACAAGAAGATGGGTCATTATTACGAGGAAATTAATTACAAAGAAATGGGTCATTACATAATGTTTATATAACACCTATCTTCTTGTAATGCATCATAAAGATTATCTGCATACGCATCCATCCATATCTGCATTACATAATTTATGGACAGCTCTATATAAACAAACTAATTTAAAATTTAAAAAATAAGTTGATTGTGAGATGGATACTTAGAATAAAAAATTATAGAATGTTTAATTAACATTTGTTTGAATGTGTAATGAAAAATTTAATTAAAGAATTATTTTTAAAAAATTAAGAAAATAAATTTTAAAAGACAAAATAGAACTGCACCATAACAGAATTGGATATACCTCCCTTTTTTTTTATTGTTCAGTATAGAAATGATTTTCACTAAAATAATTATAAACACCAAAGTAATTAGAAAAATATTAAATAAATAAATAAACAAATAAATAAATAAATATATATATATATATATATACAGTAGACCCCCTACAAAATGGGTTCCTATAATTACGATTCCTATAAGACAGCGAAAAAATTGCGACAGTATCCGTAAAAAACGGTAAAAAAACTCCTATAATTACGTAAAACGTCATCGGGCAGCCAAACTACTTTCCGCGCCATCAAGCGCCACGCTACGGAGAGATTACTATCATCTGTACAGTATTATATATAAATTATATATAAATTAGGTACTGTATATATAATTATATATTAACTTATTGTAACTTTGTTATAATTAAATATATAATTTCCGCCGTCTAGCGTGGCGCCACGCTACGGAGATTTTTATGCTAACTATCGTCTGTACAGTATGTAAATTAGGTACCGTAAGTCTAATACAGTACTGTAATTTTATACATTTCTTGTGAAAGAAACATTTCTTATTCAACGGCGATAAAAATTATTTATATTAATGATGTCTCCAAAGTTCAGCGAAGTTTTCGCAGAAAAATAACATCAGAAATCGCGGCCGCGGTTTGCTGAGTTGTTCCGCGACGAAAACAAGCTTGAGCAACAGCGATGTCGAATGGTGCACACTCGGTAAGTAATCCTACAATTTTTTGTTTATAGCGTAGTTTATACGGATTATTTCCAAAAAACATATACATATTTTGGAAATGTTGAGTCGGATTAGTCTAGAATTGATTAATTTTATGGAAGAAAACTTTTCAAACAGCCGTAGTCCGTAAACTTGACACGTGTCGGGCTGTGATTGGAAGGACTTGTAAGAAATTGGATTCCTAAAGAATGGAACGTATCTACTGTCTTATAGGGGGGTCGACTGTATATATATATATATATATATAACTATTCCCAAAATATATGCAGAGTGTGACAAACTTTTAACCCAAAATGTGCTTAAGTACTTTAAATCTTTGATTAAATCTTGAAAGCATGAAAGAAATAATGGCAGCACTTCCAGTTTGCTAGAGTTCAATGTTAGACTTGTATGATTGAGAGACAATAATTCATGTAGATCAAACTCTGATTTTGATTGGCTACATGTGACATTTTTCAATGCTTATTTCTTTATATATATCTAAATATATATAACTCAAAGGTGACTGACATAGTGATCTATCAACGCACAGCCCAAACCACTGGACGGATCGGGCTGAAATTTGGCATGCAGGTAGATGTTATGACGTAGGCATCCGCTAAGAAAGGATTTTGATCAATTCTACCCCCAAGGGGATAAAATAGGGGATGAAAGTTTGTATGAAACTTTGTCAATTTTAAACCGATCGGGCTGAGACTTTGCATGCATAAAGCTACTATGACGTAGGCATCCCCTAAGAAAGGATTTTGATAAATTCCACCCCTAAGGGGATAAAATAGGGGATGAAAGTTTGTATAAATCTTCTTAGATTTTCGACTGATTGAACTGAAATTAAAGATTGGAGCTACTATGATGAAGACGTCCGCTTAAATAGGATTTTGATAAATTCAACCCCCATGGGGATAAAATAAGGGATGATGGAGGATGTAAATGTATTAGTTTGAACCTATCAGTACCTAATGGAACGAATAAATTAAGACGAACAAAATAATTTTTAGTTCTAAATGTTGACAATAGATGGCGTTAGTAGTATTTTAAAACGCGCTATCGTTGTGTTTTCACTGAGTTACATATACCCGATGATGAGTGGCCGCCGTATCTAATAGTACATACTATACCTAAATATTTCTAGCGGATTATATTTGATGATTTTGGCTGTTCTTTTCGTGGCATATTTTGGATTGCATTTGCTTTGTTTCGGTTTAGTAGTTTTGGTTATAGACTCTGCTTTGTATTTGGCATTTGTTTTGTTTTGTGTTTGATTAATAATAATACTTCTTAACGCGAGCAATGCCGCGGGCAAAAGCTAGTATATATATAATCACAGGGTGAGTGGAAAGTAACCAGGCTATAATTTTTGTAATAATAATTCAATCGTAATAACATTTGTGTGTGCATATACAGTATATACATCAGCCAATGGAATTTTATAAAATTCCCATATTGGTAGTGTACCAATATGAGTTTGGGCATACATTACATTACATACATTTATTTTATTTACAACTTGTTGGAGTACAACAAATCCTGGCGCCATATACATATAGCCAGGTGAAAAGCGGAGTTGATGATTACATAATAACGATACATTTAGTAGGATAAAATACATAATAAGGGAATAGGGAAAAATAAGAAAATATAAAAGTATAAAGATATAAAAATATAAAGGTATGAAATATGAGACAATAAAATTAATGGGTACATAGCAGTAAGAAGAATTATACATACATATAATTTGTACAAAATATACATATAGATAATTACATATCATTACAGTGATGCGAAAATAAGTGATATGAGATGCTGAGGTTAGTGATACAGTTATAAAAATACATAATATCAGGATGATGTGCAATAAAGGCACAGAACACAGTAAGTGAGGTTTCAGTTGAAAGCAGCAACAGTAGTCCTTTTAAAGTACATGTCAATGAGGTGAAGTAGTGCAGCATAGGTGTCACTATTGTTCATAATTCCGTGGAGGTTTTCAGGCCAGTGATAACCATGTGTCTCCATGGAGGTGCGAAGAAGGTGTCTCTCAAGCTCAAGCATTGGGCAGGTGAGTAGATAGTGAAGGCAGCCGTCTTCGACATCGCAAAGGGAACAGCTGAAGGTTGGAGAGTTAACAAATCTAGCCAGGTAGGAATAGAAGCGTCCGTGATTGGTAAGAAATTGGCTGGTACGTTGGGTCGGTCTATACCAGGGGATAGCAAGGAAGGTCTTGATGTTAGGAATGAGTTGATGGGTGATGGGATGATTTTGTCTGTCCCAGTCCTCCTGCCAAAGATCGAGGAGGTCGTTGCGAATGATGTTTTTTATAGTTTTAATATTGATCTTGCTGTAGACAATTGGAAGGTTGTTGTCTTCACAGGCGCTCTTTGCGAGTTCATCGGCCCTCTCGTTACCGAGAGTGCCCTGGTGGGCACGAGTCCAGTAGATGGAGTAAATGTTGCTGGATTTGTTGATGTCACTATGGATGCTGGTGGAGATGGGGTGGTCACAATGGTTTTTTAAGGCTGCAATAGAGGACTCGCTGTCGGTGATGATAGTAACAGTCTGGGAATCATAGTTCGAGGCAGTCCAAGCCACGGCCATGCTTATCGCGTACATTTCCGCCTGAAAGACGGTACAGTCTGCACCAAGTCTGTACCGCTCAGACGCAATTTCGGTGTTGTTTAGGTAGGCGACAAAACCGCTACCAACATTATTGTTACATTTAGACCCATCAGTATAGACTGTTAAATCGGTATGCTCAGGCTGGAAGAAGTTTAATTTATTAGGGATAGCAGGGTGATTGGAACGAGAGAAGTGGATGGCGCACTCGAGGTCGTGATGGTTAATTTCCTGTGTAGCTGTATGGATAGTGCTGCCCCATTTAAGATGCCAAACTTTAGTTTGTAGGGAGATATGTTTGTCAATGGGCATTTTTCTTGCCAGGACTTGAAGAGAGGAGTTGGGTGTCGTTCTATAGGCCCTCGTAATGTGCAAGAGGGCTTTGCGTTGTGCGGCGATGAGTTTTCTTTTAATGTGAACCCTGCAGGTAGACCATCCCCAGCTGCCACAGGCATAGGTAATTATGGGGACAAAGATTTGGTTGTAAATGGCATCCATGGCCTCAGAGGCCAGGCCCCAGCGTCTACGAGCAATGCCAGCAAAGGTGTTGAAGATGTGTCCTGTGCGCTCGGTGATGTATTCAACGTGAGCATTCCACAGCAGCCTGTGGTCGAGTACAATGCCCAGGTACTTGATGGTCTTTTCAACGGCAATGGTTTGTCCCCCCATTTTAATGGTGGGGACTCTAAGGTAAAGATTCTGCTGGCCAGGTCTATTAAAAACGACACATTTAGTTTTTTGTGTGTTAAAAACGAGCTTGTGGTTTCTTCCCCAGTTTAAGATCTTATCAAGTATGGCGTTGCCGTCTTTTTCAATGGCTGCACGAGAGCGGCTCCCAAGGAGCAGAAAAACATCATCGGCGTAGGCCACTATATCATGGTGCCCAAAGTCTTGCTGGAGAAAATCGTTGAAGTAAATGTTCCAGAGATGAGTTTGGGCAGTGACCAAGAGAGATGGCCGAACATTTGTCTGTTCAGGAATGAGTGAATTTTGCTGCATGCCATGAAGTGTGGAAATCAGTGGCTGTTCAGAGATGGTGGCATATGGTGAAACAATATCAATCCATCTGCTACAATCCATCTGCAAACAATCAAGAATTGTCATTCAAAGCTAAAATGACCACAAGTTTGGTTGCAGATGCACAGAAAAATGGCATCTGCAACCAAATCTGGCTGTCCATCCATGTCACAATTTGAAGAAAATGTGTCATCGGTGGATGGCACCAGTACTTACATTGATTTTTAAGGTAGAGTTAACATTGATAAATTCGTGATAAAATTAATTATTCTTTAATTATTGGATATATTTCATAAATAGAAATGTTAACTATAATATTAAAGGGACCATATTTTGAAGAAAACAGCATTGCTTTTTGTCATTATGAGTATATTTATATCAGTTTTCTAGGGTTATATTTCTTATGCTATGTACAGGATGTTATTTCATGATATCATGGGTAAGTTTGTGATATTACATTGCTAATTTTGTGAGAGGATACTTTAGCCTATAATTGAATTAATTTTTATTGTAGTACATATAATATTTTCTCTTACACTTTTATCTGAAAACATATATCCATGTACAACACATGCATATATTTATGCACAAAATAACTTCAGTCTTCATCTGAATTGTTAGCACATCCATCACACTTACCTCTTCTTTTTCTTCATATGATGCCTGGCATTTATTATGTGTCAAACCAAATGGAAAGTATTGTACATTGCATCCATTATACCCCAGTTTTATTTTCAACATCTTCATTAAAATTGTGACCACACAATCTTTAGATGCCTTGTGTATTGAACACTTTTCATCCTTGTGGCTTTAAAAAGTTTATCTTTTTCATATTGATGATATTTTGATAACATCATGAGTAGTAAATTTATGATATATTAATTATTTTATCATACTCCTTTTGGGCCTAAAAAGTATGACAAAAACAGAATATGTTCAACTAACATTATGTATAAGTTACATATTTAATCAGTAATAATTAATTATTAAATAGTCAATGTGATAGATGTGTCTAGAATTTCAATGGAAAAGCTAAGAATGTTGTCCAAATAGCTAAAGAAATTTAAATGCAGAATACAGTAAAAAAATAACAACTGCATGTATCTCCAGTTTGTAAGTTATTGAAATATCAAAGAATAATTTACTTACCATCAATATGTTTTTTTGTAAATTTAAGATAAAACTAGTTGTTTTCAACATTTCTACAAATTTCCAATTTTTTCTTCTTAATAGGAATCTTTCTGCTAGCAGTTTACTCAAACAAACAAAATTTTCAAATTTAATATATTCAACAAAAACTGCAAGCAAAATTTCAAATCTCCTCTTACATCACTTATTTAATAAAAATTAATTTAAAAAGTATCATGAAATTACCAATATCACAAAATTACAAATGTTTACCCTTATACATCATATTAATATTTCCATTTAATATGGCACATGCCAAATAATTTTCATCATCTTTGCAAAATTATATAAACTATAGCAATTTCTTAATCCTAGTTAATTTTGATCTATCTTGTATAATCTATATCTCTAAAATGTGTAATTACTTCTAGTAAATAACTTTTTGTGATTATCACGATTAAATAATGAATTGCAGGAATTTCAATTTTTTTCCAATGAAGCTTTTTCATATTATTAATTTTTAGAAGTTAAAGCTTTTAAACTGAATTTCCTTTTGATCAGCAGTTTCCTTACTCTAAATTTTGGATTTAAATCTGATTAATCTTAATATATTTTATTATGTAAAAACTATTCTAATTTAGACATAATTAAAATTATTTCTTTTAGAAAATATTCTAATTCTAGAATAATTTAAAAGATTTATTTCTATTATTTTTTAACAGTTAATATTAAATCTATTGTAAGGGAATCTCCAACTTCAGAATTTTTTTGTAAATTATTAAAAATTATTATTTTTATTTTATCTTACAAAACAAGTATGAATAAAGTTTCTTTTTAATCATGAGCAACAATTATTGTCACACATAAATTAAGGTTACTTAATGTATTGCTATTGTAGATTTAATAGCAATACATTAAGTGATATTAGGAAATTTAATTTAATTTAGATTGATTGCTTGTTGAATAATGATTGAGCTCATATAATTTATTTAAATAATGATTATTTACTTTAATATTATATATACAGTGTATATATATATATTCTGCACCAAGTCTGT